ATGTAAGGCACTGTGTGTGTAAGGGTGCTGTTTGTGTGTGTAAGGGTGCTGTGTGTGTGTGTGAGGGTGCTGTGTGTGTAAGGGTGCTGTTAGTGTGTGTGTATGTGTGAGGGTGCTGTTAGTGTGTGAGGGTGCTGTTAGTGTGTGTGTGTAAGGGTGCTGTGTGTTTGAGGGTGCTATGTGTGAGGGTGCTGTGTGTGTAAGGATGCTATGTGTGTGAGGGTTCTGTTAGTGTGTGTGTGTGTGTAAGGATGCTATGTGTGTGAGGGTGCTGTTAGTGTGTGTGAGGGTGCTGTTTGTGTAAGGGTGCTGTGTGTGTGAGGGTGCTGTTAGTGTGTGTAAGGGTGCTGTGTGCATATGTGTGAGGGTGCTGTTTGTGTGTGTAAGGGTGCTGTGTGTGTATGTGTGAGGGTGCTGTTAGTGTGTGTGTGTAAGGGTGGTCTGTGTGTGTGTATGTGTGAGGGTGCTGTTTGTGTGTAAGGGTGCTGTGTGTGTATGTGTAAGGGTGCTGTGTGTGTGTGTAAGGGTGCTGTGTGTGAGGGTGCTGTTAGTGTGTGTGTGTGTGAGAGGGTGTGTGTGCTGTATGTGTGTAGATGCTGTGTGTTGGGGGTGCTGTATGTTTGTGTGATTGTGTGTATTGTGTGGGGGCCGTTTAGTAAATATCCCCCCTCCCTTCCTACCTTATGCCTGGGAGGGGGGATCCTTTCTGCTGCTTCCATCCCTGGTGGTCCAGTGGAGAGTGAACTCTAGCCTGCGGGGCTAGAGTTCACTCTCGCGAGATCTGAGCATTGCCACGGCAACCAGTTTAGTAGCACTTCTCTGAACTCTCTCTAAAGTATCAATATCCGTCTGAAGATACGGTCTCCAGTACTGTGGACAATACTCCAAGTGAGGTCTCACCAGTGTTCTTTACAATGGCATGAGCACTTCCCTCTTTCCACTGCTAATCTTAAATGGTATTAGCAGGGGCGTACCTAGAGCATTTGGCACCCGGGGCGGATCCTGTGCTTGGCACCCCCCCCCCCCCCCCCCCCCCAAAAACAAAACAAAAAACCTGTAAAAATGTTAAAGGTTTTATTTCTTTTATTTTTACAATTTGTAAACTTTGCAAAACGCTGTCAGCCCCTCCTACAAAACCCTTGTCCTGCTCTGCCCCTCCTACAAAACCTCTGTCCTGCCCCTTCTACAAATCCTGTACTGCCCCATCTACAAAACCCCCGCAACCCCCTTCCACAAATCCCCTGCTTATCCCCCCTTATAAAGACTCCTGTCCCAATACAAAAACCCCACCCCCTTCTACAAAATCCCTGCAGCCCCACACACACATTTACAGGCAGACAGTCACACACTCAGTTACAGACACAGTCACACACTCAGTTACAGACACAGTCACACACTCAGTTACAGACAGACAGTCACACACTCAGTTACAGGCAGACAGTCACACACAGTCACAGGCAGACAGTCACACATACACATTTCCTCCGTGCGGCGGTTTATCAGCTGTTTGCTTAGGTAGGCTGTACTTGGCGCCGCGGCCTAACTACCATGGGACACTGTCGCGGCCACAGCTCACACAGCCCCCCACTCCAGCCAGGGCCAGTACAGGTTTTGCGCCCTAGGCAAAAGTAAGAAGTTGCCGCCCCCATGCTTCGACATCACAATGCCCCAGCCATATGATTTGCCATGTTAACTAACGCCAATTCTTTGCAGTGCGCCCGTGTTTGCAAGGCCTGCAGGGACAGCAGGCCTATAGACCTGGAAACCACTACATTAAGCTGAAGTGGTTCTGGGGACTATAGTGTTTCTTTAATGTGAGGTAAATTAGAGCTTAGTGCCACGAATAATATACTAGATTGCCTACTTACAACCAGATGAGGATGATGATGGGCTCTAGCTGCAGTCTGGCTCCCCTGGTCTGGTGCAGAACAGGCTCTCTGGAGGCGGTTTGTAACTGTGGTCACAAAAATCAATGTTCTGGGAGAGCGGGAAGCAGCTCCATTTTTTGGGGGGTCCTTTACACAGCTCAAGGTCTGGGTCCCAGGGTCCACCTTCATGTTCCACCAATGAGTTTGTTCACAGGGGGTGGAGTGTGTAGGGATGTCCTGATATGTGTGTAAGGAATGCATTGTGTGAAATTGTGTTTGTATGTGTAAGGACTGCAAGGTGTGTTTCTGTGTATGTATGGGATGCAGTGAATGTGTGTAAGGGGTGCATTGAGTGTGTGTAATGAATGCATTGTGTGTTTCTGTGTGTGTAAGGGATGCATTGTGTGTAACGGTTGCATTGCTTGTGTGTTTTTCTGTGTGCAAGGGGTGCATTGTGTGTATGTGATGAATGTCAATCTCTCCTCCCGCTCCAATTTCCTTCTCCTCCTCCCAATTTCTCTCACCCCCCTCCTTTCTCTCTCACCCACCTTCTTTTTCTCTCTCTCACCCCCCCTTATTTCTCACCCCCCCTTATTTCTCTCTCTCACCCCCCCTTATTTCTCTTTCTCACC